TCAGGGTTTATTTTAACGTGCAGTTCTACGCAAAATGTGCAGTTCTAAACCTATTTGTGCAGTTCTTAAAACTGAAATGTGCAGTCACCAAATTAACAAAAATATAATCTCAAAACAATCTTCTCATTTACTCGTTTTCCTTGTGGATGCTCCAGATGCCAGAAATGCTGTCATTGAGCATCAAAAATCTAAATGTTTTCTGGGAGAGGACAACCAGACTCTCGTATTTTTTTCACAAATCACATACGTGCTGGAGTAATGGAACAGTAGGTTAATTTGGGGCGAGTGAAGCTATCCAGAAGAAATTAATAGAATGGGAGAACCTAATATTCTTTGCTGCCTAAGGTTATTGTATATTGAGTATTCATGATTTCCAGTTACATGTTTTGAAACAGTTTTTGTGAGTGGTTGGGTGAAACAAATCTTTGCCAGAACTTACGAGCTCTAAATTCAAAATTTGGGGGGACACCCCCTACCTGTAGCTACCTGTAGCTTCTCCACCCGGAATCGAGTTTGTCTGGTCCACCCAACTACACCTTTATTCTGCCACTTATATACAAATTAAGAGTCTATCATAATTTGCAACGTTAACTATAAATTTACAACGTTAAATATACTGTAGATAACGTTCCTTGGACTCCCCAGTCAAACATCCTTTGACCCCCCAGTCAAACACGTGATGCTTCGTAACATCCCTGATATGTGCAGTTCTAAACTTTTCTTAAAATAAACCCTGAGCGTTGTATAATGTGATATAACAAAGCCAGGGAAACTTTGCCAGTGGACGGTTTGCTTTAAACGTAAGTAAATAAAACTACAATTGTTTTTGTTTGTGGAAACACCACGTAAATTTATTATTTATTACATATTATTAGCACTGATGAAGATCCGGGCTTACGGATCGAAAGCTTTGCAGTAATAAATTTACGTGGTGTTTCCACAAACAAAAATTTACGTGGTGTTTCCACAAACAACAATTATAGGTATTTTATCGCCATGCAAACATACAAAGAACTTAAAACTACAATTGTCTCGAACATTTTTATGTAAATTATTAATAAGTAATATTACGGATGTCACCGAAGTGTGCGAGCCACTAAAATTTCGCACGACTGCCACGCCCACAAAGCGTTAGCAACCCGCCCACAAAGGCATACGCGTTTTGTCTCAAAACTTTGCCGTGTTTTTCTCCGTGTATTCGAGCGTGTATTTGTTTATACTGAAAATGATGTCTATGAAAGGAAAAAGGTACGAATTTAAGGTCAAATATGACTCATATGGTCATCATAAGAATTATTCTAAATTTTTCTTACGCAAGGAAGAGATAAAGCGATTTAGCTCGGAATTATTATAGTGAAATACGCACGCAGGCTACTTCATCTCAGAGCAGTGAAATTAATCAGCTCAAAGTCAAAGAGATTTTTAAAAGCAAAACACTTCACAAAAACGATTTAGAAGTAAACGTAATTTAAATGACAATCATGAGGACAATTATAGACCTGCTTTAATTTGTGCGATGATAACCAAACCAGTGTTGTCGAAGACGAACCCGTTGGGTATGAATACCCCAATATAGAACTATATTTTGATAAAGTTGAAACGGACGAACAAAAGCTGCGAGTAACAATTGAGGAGAAAGATTTGTTGGAACTTGAAGAGAGTTTCCGAAAACCTGAAGATTTCATTAAGTTGCCACTATGTTCATATATTTGCCATAAGTCCATAACCCTGGCCATAACAAGACTAATTGTTTACGCCGTGCGAATCGGCCTCATATTGTCATGATATTAAATGATACGTTTACTTCTAAATCGTTTTTGTGGAGTGTTTTGCTTACTATTAGGAGACGGCGAGTAAAATCTCTTTGACTTTGAGCTGATTTCACTGCTCTGAGATGAAGTAGCCTGCGTGCGTATTTCACTAATAATTCCTTGCGTAAGAAAAATTTAGAATAATTCTTATGATGACCATATGAGTCATAGTCGACCTTAAATTCGTACCTTTTTCCTTTCATATACATCATTTTCAGTATAAACAAATACACGCTCGAATACACGGAGAAAAACACAGCAAAGTTTTGAGACAAAACGCGTATGCCTTTGTGGGCGGGTCGCTAACGTTTTGTGGGCGTGGCAGTCGTGCGAAATTTTAGTGGCTCGCACACTTCGGTGACATCCGTAGTAACATGGTTTCGAGTGCAATTTGGATATAACATGCACTCATGAGTCTTTCAAAGACACTTGAGGTCTTTGAAAAACTCACGAGTGCATGTTTATCCAAATTTCACGAGAAACCATGCTATTACTTATTAAAATTTACATAAAAATGTTCGAGACAATTGTAGTTTTAACTTACGCGTTTATAGCGAACATTCCACTGGCAAAGTTTCCCTGGCTTTGTTATATCACATTAAACAACGCTAACAGCTGAAAATTCCAGGGCTTTTCCATCTAAAAATAAAGATAAAAGCCATATTTTCCACGCGAAGTCAATTTTTACTTTATGTAGCGGGGCGCCATGTTTGTTTTGTTTTGAAGCAATCGGTGACCGTTTACTTCTTTAAACTAAACTGCTTTAAACTGGTCCAGTGGTTAGTTTTATCATCACAATCTTTTTCCACCAATCAGATCAGTTTGTTACAGATTTTTGCACTGTTAATTGTTACAGATTTTTGCACTGTTGTTACAGATTTATGCACTGCTGTTTGGGATTAAATGCACTGAAACCAACCAGTCGAGTAATATTTTTCTATGTATTTTATTATTAATACGTAATCGGCATGGTTTTTCGCGAAATTTGGACAAACATGCACTCGTGAGTTTTTCAAAGACCTCAAAATACGTCCTTCGGACTCCGTTGACGACAACACGTACACACGACTGCAATAGACATATTTAGATCGAGACGCGGACGTCAAAGACGACGTGAAAATGGCGTCAAAATGGTGTGGCATATCCATACATGGGCACAACACGTCATTTTCACGTCGTCTTTGACGTCCGCGTCCTCGATCTAAATCTGTCTAATATTGGACGTGGATCATTTAGCTACGCTATTGGTCCACCCTAATGATCCACGCCCTATATAGTAAGATATAAAACAGCGGTTACCGTCAAACTGTTCACAACGAAATTCGAGTTCGCAGTGAAGTTTTCCTGAAACATTTTGTTGATCATCTGCACCTTTTCTTGGAATATTCTCAGGTAGGTGGAACTGCATGGCATTCGACTATGAACTAAGAAACGAAACTTTGCTTGCAATAAAAATAAGACAAAAATCGAAAACTAACTAATGGTGAGTAATAGCGAAGTAGTTGTATAATCCTCACTGCCTGCCAGACCAAATTCCTTGGCACGCGTATACGTTTATGCTAGTGACAGTGTTTGATATATGCAATTAAATAATCATTCAGTAGACAGAATTTTTGTTGCCTCAGCTTGTGCACATATATGCATGCATGCAATTACTAATACAGTAAATAAACTGAATGGCAACGAGTAGATCTTTGCTTTCCTCATCCTAGTAGGAAGTGTGATAAAATCACCAGGAAATTCAAGCAGACATAAGTTAACCCAATAAATAGGGTTCTTCTTTTCAGTCATTTTGTATTACAAACGGGAAATTGATAACCAGTTTGATCATCTGATGCGTATCTAGATCAAAATTTCACGCATAGGGGAAAGGTCTATTGTCCCGTATAATATTGAAAAATTGCGTAACATTAGCTAAATACTATCATTTGCCACATGAGCTTGGCTCTAAAAATTATTCATAAATTAAATTATCAAACAATTTTTGGCGCTTTTTACAGGCGATATGATGGAAAATTTTACAATACATGTGGAAAGACACCAAGCTTCACACGCTGGTATCCGAACCAGCCTGATAATTATGGAAACCGTGAAAAGTGTGGCCACATGCTTGTAAATGGGAAGTATAAAGCAAAGTGGAATGACATCGCTTGTGACTCCAAGTATTCATACATATGTGAATTTAAACATCCCAGATGTGAGTATCTAGCGAAGATTCTTCGTTTCAGAGCCAGTAGTATGGTTTGGAGACATCCCTCGCTCGAAACGAAGCTTTTATTATCGGTATAATTTGATCCTGTAAAAATCGGCAAAATTTTTTTTCTGACTGGGAGGCAAGTCTGATTCCTGCATGCAGCGGTGAGGGCAATTGTTCTCCAGTTATATAGTTAAAAGGCCCCAAACAGCGCAATAGTTTAATTCTTCCAGTCTTATAGGCTATATACACGTTATGATCCAAGTGTAATTTTACACTGACGCGGAACGCTTCATTTGGATGCGCAGTCGATACTGTGAATTGGCTTACATTTTTATATTGCGCATGCAAGCCACATAAGCATTGCATTTACCCATTATACAACTTCTCTGTCACGGTCTCATGCAGCTTCTCGTTTGCCCTTTTCCCATATATTATGATGGGAAATTTAGAATATTTATGATATTCAAAGAATATTTATGATATTCAAAACATTTTAAAGGCTAGCTGTTTATCGCCTTAGTAAAAAATCACCTCTGCTAGCTTCAACAGCGAGAAAGGCCATGAAGGTGAAGTTTTTCCCCTCTAAATCTTATAAATATCACAAATATGTAAAATTTCCAATCACAATATGGGCACATTAACATTAATATGTCATATTCCTTCGGCCTCAATATTTTCGAAATATACATTTTTTGTTCAATTAAAGTATTCATATTCCTACAAGAAATATTCCTCTAATTAAACTAATTCAAAATCCACTATTCATTCCTGATTCAATCACGGTAAAAAAGTCCATAAAAAGTCACTTCTACAACAGTTAACTGTTGGACGCTATACCATACATAGAAGTCGATTTTTATCTATTGAAAAGTGATTTTAAACACCCAAGTCTTAAGGTTGTTCGATATAGTTTTCTAAAAATGGAAAATTCACGATTTAGATCCGTATTTTTGGAGAATAGACTTTGTGCATGATGACGTCACAACGCTTGATGCCCGCGAGGAATGCCGGAAAAAATCGATAGTGACCATTTTGAATTGTTTAATTTTCTCAGGCGATGACTATTAAGACCAGCATTCTTCGTGGGCACAAAGCTATGACGACTGAAGTTTCAAAATGGCGGGTATTTTGGCTTTAAAATATTTTACTTTAAAGGCACCAATTCCGCCATCTTGAAATGTCACCGTTACCAATAGCAACGGCACTTGGTGTTGTTTTACATCTGTGAGATACTTTTTGTTTTCCAACATGTAATAATTGTCCAAAAATGTGGATTTAAATCGTGAATTTTTCATTTTTTTTTTAACTATATGGAGCCACAGTATACATACTCTTTTACTATGTTATCGTGTATGACTAATTACGTCTTTTTCTTTTAATTGAAAGGTGACTGAAGCAACAGAACTGTCGACTGATATCATGAAACTCAGTTATAGTATAGCAATATCTCTTGTGAACTATGTAGTTATTCAGATATTTGTAGAATAATTTTGTTTCCTGTAAAAGATACCTGATTAAATGTTTGATTTGACAACCGAGCTAAAGAGTCTCTAAATTTCCTAACGTTCCTCAATCCTCATCCCTACACCTCTGCCTCTGGGCCAAGCTGCGTTTCTCTTCGCACCGTGGTAGCATTCCCTTCCATACGCCCTTTCAAATATGAACCTTTTGCTTTTTCAGTAACGTGCTCACGAAAGTGGTTGAAAATTAAACTTTTACCGACAAAAAAGCAATATCAACAAATTAACATAGTTGTATAGAAGGGAAAAAATGGGGGGGAGGGGCAGCAAGAAATTTGCCAGTCTTATTTGCATTTTGCCCCACTTATAAAAAAATTTCCGGATAAAATTCCCAAAATGTTTGTCGATGGGCGGGGGATTAGAAAAATATTCTTGCATTTCAATATTTTCCCACGCCTTTTCGTCCAACTTACGTTATAATTTGCCCAACTTTACGGTTTACTGGGACAGCTCCAGTGGCGTAGCAAACTCGATAATTGGGGGAAGGCTACCGACACCGCTGGATATCCGCGTGTTTTGCATCATTAATTTCTTTTGAAATCAATTGTTTCTAAGGTCTGTGAACATATTGCCCCCGCCCCCAATTATCGAGTTTGCTACGTCACTGGACAGCCCCTCCCCTTTTCCCACCCCGCCATCTTTCCTTTGCTATTCCACCATACTGTGATTCCACGAGGGCTCCAGTGCACATCCAGAAATTGAACGACCGAGCTCAACTTGACAGTTTGCCGATGGTGGTTTAATATATGCAGGGAAGCGAAAAATATAATTAAATCCTGTGTATTAGTATTCCGGTGACAAAATACAAAGCCTTGAATACAAAGCGAATTTGGTAACATCCCAATGTTGGTGATGCTGCCAATACTATCGAGAATCGTTTGTAAGGGCTTGCATGATAAACCATGCACAGTTTTAATTACCAAATAAACGTTTGCTATTCGAAATTAGTTTAGTTCTTGACGAGCAAAATTGTCTGGTGTTAGACAGAGCAGCTAGCACGATGCAATGTATTAGAAATCATTTTTCTAGAAGATCATGGCATGTCCACCATAAATTGCGACTTTCCTAAAAGGCACGAGGGCCTGAGAACGAGGCAGATTACATCACTGGTTTACATGAAGTTTCTTAGAGTTCGTTCCAAGTTTCAGCCCGTGAAATTTGACCGCCTAACAACAGAATAAAGACATACAGAAGTGTAACTTCCATTACAAAACCGTAAAGCGCTTTTTTATCGAAATAGCTGGCGGCCATGTTCTTAGCAAGTGCCCTAAAGAGAGGCATTCACCCCCCTGGAATATTAAATTTTCAATATGTTTTCAGGGGTGACTGCCTCTCTTTAGGGCACTTGCTAAGAACATGGCGGACTGAAAAAATCCCTTACGCGAAATTAACCTGAAGTGAGATCTCTGTATGTACTTCCTATATGTGGCCTAACGAGAAAATAAAGACGTACGATTTTCATGATCCTAAGCGGACTTTCAGCCCGGTTGAAATTTGGCAGAGCGCTGCCATGCAAACGTGTAAACAATTTCAGGTCGGTTTTAACGGATTGAAAACTCGCATGTAATCAGCCCCGGCTCTATATACATCTATTCAACTTCAGCTAGACTTATATGAGTTTTTTTCTTATTTTAAATCTACATATCACGCTCACTTTCTAATAGCTGATGTCAACAATTGCATGTCTTTGTTACAGAATCCAACAGTTCAAATACCAGCCAAACACGTGTTGAATTTGACATCTAAATACGAAGAAAGTAATTCAAAGCGAAATTACTACACTATATTAAATACCACAAAACGTTAAATTTATCTTCTTAGGCTCTTAGCTGTGTAAATGGCGAGGTAAATTAGTCTCATTTTATACACGTCTATACAATGTGCATTTCTATACCCACATATATAGATTCACATGTCCGATTTAAGAATCAAGCAATGCAGTCAGAGCAATATAAATATGTCAACATGAAACGAGAAACTAAAATTATATAGAAACTTTGCTTAAATCTTACTCACCATAAAAATCCATCTTGTTTCTTGAGATTCGAAAGCTGGAAGTAAGTCTAGCATGTCATATTTCAGCACCGCCTGGCCGCTTTGTAGATTTATATTGATAGCGAAAGCTCAAAGACAAAGTCAACACTGGCACTGAGCCCAAAACAACGAGGCAATTTTGCTAGTGACCAACAAACAGCGTTTGTTTACAGGATTTTCCATAATGATTAAGTTTTTAGACATTCTCTGGTTCTAAATATTGATAGTTAAAAGTACAAGCTTTCGGTTGCCAGTTTGCGGCTTTGACGCGTAATGGGTCCGTAATGACCATGAATATTCGAAATGAAGCTATTTGCATGTATTTGATTTATAATTGATGAAGATCTGGATTTCACATGCACGAAAGAATTTCTTTCGTTTAAATTCAATGAAGTCCAGCTGGGCGCTTTCTAATAAATATTTTGTCAGGTTTAAAATCAAAAGAAATTTATTTCTTGTACTGTATAAAAACGAGGCCTTTAGAAATCAAGCTATTAATTGTTGGAATTTGAATGCCTTGTCAGCAGTATGCTGAACCCACGGGTGCGTATACCAGAATAGAAAGCATGCTAAAATGATCTTGAGAACAGTATAGAAGTTCAAATGATGATTGAACAATTGATACTAGGAGTGCATATGCGTATTTAATGATATCTTTCAATCTCAGCTACGAGTCAAAATTCAAAGCAACTTTTTATATAACAATATAATTATTATAAACAATCGTTAATGAGACAAAACGCGAAATCCGATTGGACATTGTTTGTTAGCAGACACAAAATAAGGCAATAATTAATCGGTCAAAGTTCGAGTATTTTGCGCACGTGCAAAATGCATGAAGAAGTATATCAAGAGCGAATATGCAAGGCAACACACGTGAAAACGCACAAGTTGTTCCAGATCTGGAAAAAGTTGTTATATACAAATCTGTTTGCATGCAAACTGTCCAAAAGGTGTGCTCGCATTACTTGTTCCCACTTCCCAATTGCTAGTGTAGTAAATTTGGAACAAGCTGTTAAACAGTTGATGGTATTATCAGACTTGTTACATGGTTATTCTAACAAGTCTAGCTGATATTCAGGCATGGTACAACAGCAAGAATGTTACAAAGTTGACGACATGACGACGCAAGGTTGTAATATCAACAAGGTTAAGGAGTATAACAGGGACTGAAAGTCCTCCAAAGTGCTCTACATATGGGGGGGGGGGGCGATATTCCTAGGAGATTCTCCCCTCCCCCCAGGGCGGCGAATCTCCTAGGAATATCGCCCCCCCATATAAATTTTGAATTTTTGATCTAAAAACAAAACGATTGCAAGTTGAAAAGCTAGATTTATTGTGTGATTTACTTATCTTTTACAAGGAGACAAATTACATACACATTTTAGGCTTCTTAGCAGCTGGTGGTGGGCACAGTATTGTCCATTGAATCGTCAACTTTCCATGTCAGTGTCAGTGATGTAATCGTGATTCTTGACTTCCGCAAAGAAAATTGCATTATATATATGTGGTGTGGTTTATTCAAATAATTTCATGATACTTTGATTTTATTAGTGTCTTAAACATTTGAGTATGTAACTCTGCAAAATTAAAAGCTTTTTTGTCTTTTTGAAACGTATATTATTGGAGTATTGCCTATTAGCAAGTTCTACTCTTCGCTTCTGAGATTTACAAACTATATTGAAATAATGCAACTAAAAATAGTGACAACTTATATAAGCCATACATTTTCCGATAACGACAAAACGTAGATGCAAAGCAATACCAATAATTATAACAACCACCACGGTGATTACTTTTTAACAATGAGTTTAAGGATTAACACTGCAAATCAAAATATGCAAAATATGCATGGTGTGCTGTGAAGCGTCATAAGTCCTATTGATCTACTGTAACTGTGTAAGCCCTTTCGATACATGTAATTGTAAATTTGTATTCTTAGCATGAAATCACGTCCCCAAAGTTCCCGATCATGGTGATCGGCAGTCATGACTTTCCCTGCTTTTTTCAGGTTGGAAACCGAAACCCTGCTTTTCCGCCGATCATAAGCAATTCCTTGCCGATCATTAATCGGTGATCGGTTGTTATTTCAAGCTCTGTCTTAACAATTTTGAATTGATACTGATTTCAAATTATTAAAGCCATGTAATAATTATCCCATGTAACTGTTAGGAAGGGCGAAATTTTGAACGAAGGACGAAAATCCTAAAAAAAAAGTACAGTTTCTAAAGGGGGGCGAATTTCCTAAAGGGGGGCGAAATTCCTAGGATATTCGCCCTCCCGGAGGGGGCGAAATAGTGTGTGTGTGGGGGGGGGAAATCCAGGGACACCGTTTCATAAACTGGTATGTGGTATCAAAAGAGTGTAAACCAGCAGATGTAAATGTCGAAGAGAGAACATATACATAATTCGTCTTATATGTAAGTAAAGTTTTGATGGCATCGGATGGCAAACATCCATTTCAGTGAACTGAGCAAAAATAGAACATTTTAAGGC